ATCAGAAGGGACATTGTAAAAGACATGGAGATTTGTGAAAAAAATGAGGCACCTTTCTTAATGTTTTATGCTTGTTTTATGCATTGATAGAATTACTGGGGCTTTTTTTTGTTGTTTAATTTTCTGGGAGGTTAAATAAGTCTTTCTTCATTTTTAAAGGTGAATGAGGGTCATCTCATCTAAGTTTTCATCTATTATTTTTAAAGTTAGGTTTACTATATTTATCCTGAGCTTCCCCTCTCCTTTTTCTTCTTTGTTTAGGCTTTGTGTCTGCTCTCCAGGTTAGAGCCTCTGCTCCAAAGAACCACATGTTTGACAGGGAGAAAGGAAGCAAAAACTTTTGGTAATTCTTAACTTTTATTTCCAGTGATGTCAAACTTCTTCCAGTCCAGAAGAATTTGTTCAGTGCCCATTTTTCAGTCCCCAAAGTTTTTACCTGTGGGCTGCCCTCTCCTTGTTTCCAACCTCTCTGATTTTTTCTGGGGTGAGCACAGCAGGATCTGGCTGCTAGGTTGGACTGTGCTTGCCACCACACCCAGCAACTTTTCAAACAAGCAATGATAAACTTCTCAGAAATTTAACACAGATAAATCCAGAAGTAGACACAAGGCTCTTGCATTTACTAATAAAGTCAATAAAAATCAGCTTCCATATAATTTTGGTGGGTTTTTTTTGGGGGGAGGACAGGGTTTCTGTATCCTTCCATTAGAGAATCCTCATCATCATCTTCCTGAACTGTAAACTCTGGAATTTAATTTGCTCAACTATGCTCCTGCAGGCTGTGTCAAACCAGTAGATCTTGCAGTAGCAGAGAGAACAGAAAATGGTACATAAGACCTCGCTCTGCTTTGCTGGACTCAGTGCATAGGTTCTGCCATTTTTGCAGCCTCATATCATACCTGTCTGCAGATTGTACCTGCTTGATGATCTCCATGGTGAATTGGGCACTCAAGACAGAAACATAAGCTGGTGAGTCAAGGTTACTCTCCCTCCTCCTCCTTGTTCTTTCCTTTCAGTGCAATCTGGGTAATTACATATGCTGTTTTGGTATGGAAAGTTCTTGTCCAGAGCAAAGTACTGCCAGAGTGTTTTAATTCTCCAAGTGCAGTTTAAACAGCCCCCACAGATCAGCAGAGGCCTGCATGAATGTGTTTGGGGGGTGAGGGTGGGGTAAGGGCAGGATAATTTTCTGGGCCTGGATGTAGACATGATATCCCTTGGAGGACTTTCCTTGCTGGATGCTACATGGGTGGAATATAGTGAGAAATCCAAGGCAGATTTTCCTGCTTTGTGAACAGAAAGTGATGACTGGGGTCAGTAGTAGGGAAATCATAGAATCATAGAATGGCCTAGGTTGGAATGGACCTTAAAGATCATGAAGTTCTAACCCCCTGCCATGGGCAGGGACACCTTTCACTAGACCAGGTGGCTCAGAGCTCCATGCAGCCTGGCTTTAAGCACTTCCAGGGATGAAGCATCCACAACTTCATCAACTCCTCTGTCTTTACTGGATAGCCTGAAGAAATGGAACCATAAATATTGAATGACAAAGAAAGAATTTTTGTAGTCTCAGAATAAATACATAGAAAACAGAATTTTAGGTCTAATATGCTCAGTTAGCCAGTGGATGCATTGAAGTTTTGCCTCTCTCTGTGTTCACAAAACACTTTTCCCTCTTTCCATTGGTGCAAACGTCTCGAAATGGATCAATGTTGCCCTGGTTCGTTGGCAGCATCTCCCCCTGTTGTCCAGCTCAGACAATGCAGAGCTCTGCACCATGAGGGAGGTGACACATCTCCTCTTCTTTGTAAGCTGATATCGAGTAGACAGACACCTTCTGAAGTTTTGTGCATGCTGTGTGCTTTTTTTTTCTTCGCTGCAACAAGAAAAGCCTTTTCTTTTAACCTGGCTTCCTTTGAAGAAGTAACTCAGGAAGCTTCATGGCCTCTCAAGGTAAGTGCATCTATAGTCTGTATTTTTAGATCATGTTTACAGAAAACTACAGTCTTGTACGTTTCCAGCAATCAGCAGTCTGATGAAACGAGTGTTTCACGCTAAACTGCATCAGTCAAAGCACAGTTGTTTTGGCTTCCTTTTAATTTTTCAGTATCCAAGAGGCTCCTAAGGAGACTAAAATCTATACTAGGATGTTATTTGAATAAAATATGTTATAAAATGTTAGCATCTGCATTCAATCAGAAAACGTAGTGTTCGTATCTTTGTGCTTAAACCTGTCGGTACAGAATGCATGAAAAGGGCAGGTACTGAGCCAAGGGGACAACTATTTTTGCCTGCTTCTTCTTTACTCTCCCCTTTGAAAATACCACATCAAGAAATGCTTTTCACATTCAAAACTGGCCAGAGTCCTGGTAAGCACATATGGAAAACAATATCTGAAGCACAGCTGAATTCAGTCAGATTACTCCTATATGGAAGCCTCTTTGTCGTGTATTGACCTTTAGCAGCAGCTGGTTGGGTGCTCAGGGCTGTAGGAAAACATGCAGCATGCTGATCTAACCAGCCTTCTCAATTAGTTTTCTCCTAGCTTTCAAATACTTGAACTAAGCAGAAGGACACAAATATCTTTTTTTTTTTTTTTCATACTTGAACTAAGCAGAAGGACACAAACATCTTTTTTTTTTTTTTCTTAACATGAATGCAACTCCACAGTGGTCATCCTGTTGTGATGTGCAGAGGCAGATGTCGGCACAGGAAGTTTCAGCAATGTCTATTTATGTTTGCCAAATGTTTATCCCTCTTTTTTGCCCCCCAAATACTCAACATTCTGCATTTAGAGCACTAAAAGGTACATAGCAGCAAGCAGGTTTTACAGCATTGATGTACTCTTGCAATATAGGTGTGGTTTTTTTAATTTTGCTTGTCTTTAGCCATATAGGAGAGATCTGGTTTTGCATGTTTTTGATGTATATCTATTAGTAGAAGCAGTGAAATAGTAGTGGTGTGGAATATGGTTTTTAGAATGGAGAAGATTGATAATACACCTGTTTTAGGAACATGTAACTCTACAAATTATATTTGTACAGAACACTCACTGTATCATATGGTCACTTTTAAGTTTTTCTGTATTAGAAGTGAAATGGGAATCATCCACAAAAATAGACTAAGTGTCAGAGTAGCTCAGATTGCCATTAAAATTTAATGTATTTACTGTTTGATTTTTGTATAGCTTAAAATTTGACAGGTAGAACTGCAATTTGTTGTCTTTTTTCCTCTTTATTATTCAAGAATAACACTAACACTGGGCCACTTCATGGCATTTCATGTAACAACAAGAGTTATGGCAGTAACAGAACCCTGTGAGGTAAAATGATGCAGAAGAGCATATAAAATATTTATTACCCAGTTATACATTTTTAAAAGCCAGCTACAGATTCAAAGGGGTTACTGTGGTTTCTGACTTTGAAAGAAAGCAGTGACTGCAAAGACAAATTAAGATCAAAATATGATTAAATGATGAATCTTTCACAGTGAGTTCAAATAATACTAAAAGATCTCATTTAAGCCCACAACAACAAAAGAGAGATTCAGACTTTAGAGCCAAAATTCCTTCTGGACCTCAAATCCCATTGTGCCCAAGTATTGTCACACATGAGATAAAAGTGATCAGTTTGGGGACTGCTGAGTCACAGGGGCTCAGCTTAATACAAGGATTTGCCATTTATATGGGGAGAGCTTCAGCTTGCTCTTCCTTGTTCAGGCAGAGCTAGCATTTCTGAAGACTGAGGAAAGATGCACCTAGTAAAACCAGTAGGGGTTTGTTGGGAATCAAATGGCTAAGGTGGTCACTGTGCTGGGGGAGACAGTGCCTGTGAATTTGGGGGTTTGTGGGAATACAGGGACTTGTAATAGTAAATGCTGTCATTGTCTTCACAGCACTGGTGTCCTAAAGGATGTGTTTGTGATAGCAAGCTAGAAAACACAGCATAACAATATCTGATCTTTTCATTAAGATAATAATGAACAATACACTGTAAGAGGCTGTGGAGACTTTGATACCAGGGTTGTAACATCCAGCTTAGGGAATCTGAGATCCTTGGAAAAGTTGTCTCTAATTAAGAGAAAATATGCATGTCCTTGAGATGGTAGAAAGCATCTTGATAGGAGCCAGGACTCAGCAGCTCAGGGTACTGTGGCACACAGGGCAGCTCACAGGGAGCAGGGCTGGGTGACTCGTGCTGGGAAACTTGTGGCCACCCTGTGTGTGAGTCCAGACCAGCCTCTCCCTTGCCACACAGGCTCTGTGCTCACCAGTGTCAGAGCAGATCAGGTGCCCTCCAAGACCACATCTCCTGGTTTAGCTTCATCTGCAATAATTTCACTTTGCATACTCTAAGACTGCTTTATGAAGTGCTCAAAGTGTGGGACCATCAGGAGATTTGTTTTGGGTCCTCACTCCTGATCCCAACTCTAGTGCTGATACAATCACAGGCTGAATGTGATGTAACTGTTTCAGCTTTGATCCAAGAAACTAGCTGCTCTTAGTGCCTGTTAATTTCTGATTTATATTTCCTTTTTTTTCCCCTCTTGCAGTATCTCATGGACAAACCTATCCAATCTTTCAGGATTACCTCCCTGGTTCTTCTGACTTTCCTGAACAGAACAAGCCTGTTGAACCAAAAAGTCTCTGGAAGCAAATACCACATGTTCATGACTTGCCACCTGGTCTGGAGTACCTGAACCAGGTCCTGAATCTTTCTGAATGTTAGAATTGTTATGTTTTCCTTGTATGTTGCTTTGATACCTTGGGGGATGAGGTTGTTTGGGATTTTTGCTTGAGGGATGGGCAGGTGGAGATGGAGAGGCTGTTTTGTTGTTTGGTATTACTATGAAACCAGGAGCAGAGGAATAACAAGCTCTTACTTCATTGCTGCCATACATTTTAATAGAATTTAATTTGTTATGCATGCAGCTCTCCTTGCACTAAAGCCATGGTTTTCTTCCCTCTAGGACATTTTCTAGGTCATATTATTATGCCTCCAATTGTCCCCCCAGTTTCCTTCCAGCTTCTTAAGACCTCACCCTCAGAGAAAAGTCTGTTAAACTCCAGCTGACCTCGAAAAGACCAAAATGAGAAAAGTCTGTTAAACTCCAGCTGACCAAAATAGGCAGTGTATGAAGGAATTGTCACCTCCTTATATCCTATCCTTTGAGGAACATCAAGGTCTTCTGAGCACACCTCCTTATATCCTATCCTTTGAGGACCATCAAGGTCTTCTGGGCTAATTCCTTCTGCCTCTGCAGGTTAGAGGCATGCTCTGCTGGGGAGGCAAACTCCCAAGGAGACAGTTCAGTTGAGCTATGCTGGCTCAGCTGAACCATCTGAGTTTGAGCCTGGGTGGCTACAAACCTGTGCCCACTCTCTGTGGGGTTGAGAGGAGGAAAGTGCTAATGCCCAAGAGAGGAAAATACTTGGAAATGGAAGCAGACAAGTAGGACACAGGTGGGGAAGGAGAGGGAATGCTTAAGTCTTCCCCATCCTACTGCTAAACATGTGGCTGTTCTCACTCTGTGAAACCTCTCAGCTCCTGGAGCTCAGAGCAGTGATGGTCTGTGGCTCAGCTCCAGGAATTCCTTATCTTCCTGCATTTTTCTTTACCAAGTAAGTAAAACCCAGCAGCTTCCTGCTATTACTTTGACACTGACTCCAGTCTGCATTTCACACGTGGCTGGATTCTGCCACTCTTATATATGCTGAGTAAGGTGTCATACACCCTGTTGGTACGGGCAGAGACAGAATCAGGCTCTCCAGTGTAGTCAGGCCATGATTCTGATACACACACTTCTGCTGTGTTTGCATTTTGGTGATGCTGGCAAATGTTCACTCCACTCAAGCTCTGTATTTTAGGCACACATTTCTTGTAGTTTTGCATAGAAGCAGAAATTGAATGTATTTTATATTTGGAGCTAAGTTACCTAGATAGCTAGTGAAACTGGGAGACCCTTCAGAAACAGTCTTTCATGTGGAGTTATGACTTTCATTTCATGGTGTCCAAGCACAGAATGATATGTGTTGTCAATTACATGAGCATTTGCTTACAGACTGTAGGAGCTGCATTTTGTGGTATAAAAGTGATTGCAATAGTAAATACTTGGCAGGTTGCATATTCAGTCTCCTGTATAAACATGAACTACACCTCAGATTTACCCAGACAATGTAGGCAAGCAAATACCATCACTTCATTTTATAGAAGCTTTACATCTGATATAAAGACAAGAGAACAAGTCACTGTCAGAACTATAACTGGAACTGGAGATCTCATTCATGCTTGTTCTCGGCCCAATAACCATGTGCCTGTGCTGCAGCCCTTGCTAATTATTCTCAATTTTCTCTGTAGTCTGAAAAGAGGGAAGCATATGTACAATGCTGATTGATGGCATATACCCACAGCCCACGTTTCTGTGCATTGCAGAACATTTAGGTGTGCAATGCTGAAGTCATACTGGCTGTGTGGCTAAGCAAATGGGCTCATACAGGATAGGTTGGAGCATAAAGAAGATCCCACCAGCAGGGACAGGGCTGCCTGCAGAATGAATTTGGGATTCACAGCTGCCAGGGTAATCCCTTGGGATTTATTCTGATGGACTAAGAGATTTTCATGTAACAAAATTCCAGAATGAAGACATTTTTAGCAGAACTGGGATTTTTTTGTGTGCCATTGGGAAGACTAGAAGACTCTATCTTATTAATTGGGGAAAGGTGGGTCAAAATTGAAGCAGGCACAGACAGGTACTACTGGAAGGATGTGGGGAATAGAGAACCTGCTTTGAAACAAGACTGCAGTTGTTTCATCTTTGGACTAAAAAACACTACCAGAGAGGAAACTATGACTGGGTACATAGAAGAGTAAACAACCTGTGGGAAAGAGACATTTAATTTATAGAATTATGTTACTGGCAGAAAAAAAATATAGAAAGTGGTTGTGAATAAATAAAGGATAACAAATAGAAATGATGCTCTGGGATTATCTCCAGCAGGAGTGGGGAAGATAGCTGAATAGATTTGAGAAAGCTGAATATATTTCTTAATAAGACCATGATATGTTTGACTCTGAAACAAAGATCCAAATTTACTGTATCTCAGTGAGATCCCTACAATTGTATTCTGAAGAGCAACTCAAGGACACAGCATACAGTGTTGGCTGACAGGAAAAGAAAGTATCTATCCTGTATGTTAAGGCAAGGCAGCAGTGTTTCACTCTGCAAATACACACCTGGAGTCAGTTCAGGGGACAAAGTGATTCGATCAGCTGTACAAAGTGCACCAGAGAAGCACAAAAAACTGCCTCTGCCTTGGCAAATGGATGCTATGCTTTCTATAACTATCACAGAAGTGACACCCTTTAAATAATTTCCTATCAAAAAAAGTTACACAAACCTCACTATGATCTTCCAGATCACAGTCATAGCTCGAGGAATTGTTCAGTGCCCATCCCAATAATCAAGGGAACCTTTTCCCTTGGCAGGAATAGAAAGGTGAGATCTTGGAGAAGAATTTTCTGAGTAGCTTAGTTCCATGTTATGCCACCATTCACACTTCACCAATTTTGTAAAAGGCTTCTTAGTTTAGACTTGGTTAGACTGATCAGATGTATATTTAAAGCCCACAGAACTAAATACTGAGAGTTAGCTGTGTGTTAGGAATTTTAACATATCTGAGCTCAAGAGGGCCAGACCCTTGTAAACCAAAGGGCTTTGGATGCTTTCAAATGCAAGTGCAGAATTCCCTTAATCCACAAGTGCCCTAATAAAAATGCATCAGAATAGCTGCCTTGTAGAAACCAGTGAAAGGCAAAACAAGGCTAACAAGTGGTACTGTTGTGTTGTCTCAACATTGTTTCTACATTGTGCACAATAAACCAACACACAGACCAAAATCGCTCAAAGCTTTTACCAGTTCAGACTCATAAATTTTCTTTTCCCTGTGAAAGTCTACGTCGGGCAAAGAAATCCAAATTAAAATCCATACTAAAATATTAAAATAGCCCTACCATCTTTTACTGGTTTATTCTCTTTTCGAAACCCAAACAGCAAAGATTCTTGGGAGATTATTTTTAATTCTAAATATTTTTTATTATTTCAATTACTGGCATGCACATTTCAGAGATTAATCAAAGGGATAAAGGAGTTTCTCTTTACCAGCTTTTCCTTGCAGCCTGAACTAGCTGCAGGAGATGACCAGAAGTGACAAATGGCTACAACAGTTTGAATACAGATGGGGCAAGATTTATCAATTGTAAAATATACAGGTGCTGGAGAGCTGTGACATGCTGGTCTCAAGAGGTCACTGTGTGCTTTCTGTCTGCAGTTGTGAGTAATGCCAAAATCCTGTGCCAAGTGTTTGCCCATCAGGAATTTATAGAAAAAAAGATTGGTAAAGCCTGAAACTATCACATAAAACAGGCATAAAAAGTCACATAAAAACGAAAGGTAGGCTGAAATTAAGTCTTGCTGGTTTTATAATACTAACAACTGTTCTCTAAAGAAGAATAATGTCAGAGGGATGATAAGCACAGCAAAGCTGGATATCATGACAAGCAGTTTTTCTCCAGCATCTCTAACCAGCTCACAGGGGAGGACAGTTTCAGCCACCTGAGGATTTCTCTGGGGAGCTGTTGGTTTGCTCATTCTGGCACCCTAGCATGACCCTTTGCCAGATTTAGGGTGCAGAGCTCCTGTGCCTGAGATCAGAGCATTAAAGCTTGTGCATGCCATCATTGGCATCCCCTGGTTGCCTTTCTAGGCTGCTCCAGTGGAGCCCTTTGGGATGTGGCCACAGCACATTTTGAGTTTGAGCCCAGACTCATTCACTTCTGCACTGCCATGGTGCCCATCACCAACCTTAGCTTTGGGGTAAGAGGCTTCCCCTCTCCCAAAGTGGAAGAACAAGAAAGAGGAGGCAAGAAGTACATTCTGCTTCTCACACACAGATTTCTATTGCTGTTGTCTGCCTTATTGCCCCAGTGAAGATTATTTTTTCTTCAAACATGCAGGTGAATTACATGGCCACAGAAACTAATGTCACATTCTTCAGCCATCATTTCAGGGAGAAGTCTAAACTGTGACTTGAGATAGCCCTCGGGCACCTCACTGGTGCACCTCTGGAAGGAAAGAAATCCTAATAATAGGGAGATATGCAACAAAAATAGACAGGTGACCACCAGCAGGCCCAGACCTATGCAACACCCACCATCTTGTTTGTTGTTTGTTTTTTTTAAAACAGATGGACAGGATAATTATTCATCAGCAAGTGGAGCTTCTGGAAGGTATGGTGCAATCCTTGTTGGTCTTGAACAGTGCTGGTACACAGCTGCCTCCAAATGGTTTCCAAGTCTTGCCCCCACCTCACTGAAGTCACTGTGAAACTTCCTGCTGCTCTTCCATCAGACTGTAATGTGTTGATAGTGTGGGGAAGGCTCACTTTATTGCATGCCTGTTCTGTGGCAAACCACAGAGGAGAGAAAAATTACAGAGAGTAGTCTTTACAACAGTCCTAAATTCTCTCCCTCAGGCATCTCCCTCTCAGTGTTATTAAAGTTTAACCATCTTTCCAATCCATGGAAAAATTTATTGTCTTTAACAATAATTAACATGCTATGAGAAACAAAGCAAATAGAGAAAGGAAGGTCAAAAGACACAAAATGAAGCATAAAAGTTTCTAATTACATAGTTTCTCAGAATTTCAAAGTACTGAACAAGTATTAAGTTTGGCAAATAAAACACTCTAAAATATATTTCTCCCATTCAAAATGGTTTTGGCCTGATTCTTGAATGACCCAGTGGGTAAAAGTTTTGTCACTGAAGTGGGACAGCCTCATAGTGTTACTTTTCAAAGATTATAAAGGAAAAACACAAAACAAAACTCAGGGTCTGAATTCTGCTTTTGATACATACTTCAGTGTGCAGTAAATCAAATCTTTGAACTAATTCCTTCAAAACACAGAGCTGGCATTATTATTTCCTTACAGTTGTATATTTTCTTTGTCATTCTTTCCAAATAATTTTTTTAAACAATCTGTTTCAGAGATTTTTAGAATATATACTCACATATATATATATAAAAATATATAGACTAACATTATGCTAAGGTAATGAGTAGCATTATACTAAGTTAATGTTCTACTTGTTTTGCTTTCTTAGCTGTACTTGGCAGAGAGACCTCCAGCAAATATGAGATAAAAAACCATTTGGGACAAAGAGTTTACTTTGCAGTAGAAGAAAACGATTGCTTTAACCGTAACCTGTGTTCACGTATAAGGTCTTTCACCATAAGGATTGAGGATAACACGGGCCGAGAAGTGATTCGAGTGATCAGACCCTTGAGATGCAACAGCTGCTGCTGCCCCTGCTTCCTACAGGAGGTGAGGGAACACCAAATACTTCTTGTCCAGGGGTCTCACTGTATGTGCTCAGCATTAATGAAGCCTCGTGCAGGGTGTCAGGAAGGAATTCACAGCCACCTTTCAGCCTGGGGGACTGTGTGGAGACCTTCCTTTGGGGGAACTATTGAGAAACGATGCCCTTCGATGAGTTACATTCCCAGCACACCTCCTCCCTTTCATGGGACCTTGCTTTCCTGACATCCCACATAAAGCTTTTATGTCTGATGATAGAGATGTCTCTCCAGTCAAGCAACACCTCAAAATATTTTTTGCCCTGATAGAGATGGAGATCACCCACTGTACTCCAGGAGGGTGAAGGATGGAAAAATCCCTGCAGGCCATCAGTGCATGTGGGTATGATTGGGAAGCAGCTCTCTGAGGAGGCTGATGCTTCACTCCACAGCTCTGCCTCTTCAAGGCCAGGTATCTCTGGTAAATTTCAGAACATGGAAGTAAGCTGCTTGGAGTGAAAAATGCAGATCCCACAGAGTATCAGCTCTTTCCTCCATATTTTTGACTTTCCTTTATTCAGACATCTTTCTTGTTTTATGAAAATGTTTTACATGTTTGCATATGCACTTACTTTCTCAACACTGCATCAGTTTTTTTTTTTTTAAAAAGGTCCTTGGTAGTACAGCCGCTTAGCACTTACTTTCTCAACACTGCATCAGGATTTTTTTTTTTTTAAAAAAGGTCCCTGGTAGTACAGCCGCTTAAAAAAAAAAGCTTATAGGATACTTGCTGCTTACAATCAAAAAAGACAGTATGGCTTTTATAAAGTCTTATATGTAAGATGTTAGCCTCTGCTGCAGCTTTTGAGCTTCATATCATCCACTATATTTAAAACTGCCATTAGACAGTCTTGCAATATCCAGTTCACAGTTTGGTAAAATTATATATCACTATATTAAATAAATAAATATGTTGTCATTACATAAACAATACATTAAAATGCAAAAATATACTAATATAAGATTAGTTTAAAACATTTTGTGGTTGTTGTCTTCTTTTGTTTACTAGTTAGAAGTTCAGTCACCACCAGGTACAATAGCTGGGTATGTTGTACAGAACTGGGACCCTTTTCTGCCAAAGTTTACTGTACAGAATGAAAGCAAAGAAGATGTACTAAAAATAATTGGCCCATATGCAACCTGTGGCTGTTTTGACGATGTTGACTTTGAGGTATGTTTCTTACGAGCATTAAGAATTTAAAAGTTTTACTACTTTGAATACATTTTTCAGGTGAGAGGGAGAATGGGAGATGCTTGAAGAAACCCTGACTGGAGTTTACTGATGTAAATAAAGTGCTTTGCCTTAGTTGAGAATCATAAAGGAACTTTTGGGTTTGTCAACTCATTAGCCAAATCAGAAGACTTCAGTGGGTACTGTCTGAAATTTCAGTATACTGTGAGAAACATGCAGATGGCTACAGAATTGAGAACACATCTGTCTCCTGAGGGGACAGTGGTCCACAGCAATGTGACTAGTACCATATAGGAAATATGAGATGGGAAAAAGCCCAACATTGTGAAAGAAGAGCAAAAGTGGTATAAACTTTCACAATTGCTTTCCTCCACTTTTCTGTCAACTCTAAAGATGCTGATGTTTCCAAAGTTGAGACCCTTTCTTGTGTGCCACTCCTAAAGGCAAATTTGACACTAATAGAACATCTCAGCGATAAGAATAAAAGAAGAACCTGACAACTCTAGCATACTCTGCATGTCAGGGCACAGTCATTAATTCTGGGGAGATATCTTCAGTGTGCAGTTGATTTATTTACATTTATGTCTGTTCCTATTTTCCATTTGTGAAGGTAAAAGCTCTCAATGAGATGACAACAATTGGCAAAATTTCCAAGTACTGGTCTGGATTTGTAAACAACGTCTTTACCAACACTGCCAACTTTGGGATCCTTGTCCCTGTAGATCTTGATGTGAGAATCAAGGCAGTAATGATTGGTGCTTGTTTCCTCATTGTAAGTATGCAAAGTGAAGAGGTAAACCTATAGAAATGTGCAGACTGGGGCCAAAGAGGCCATTGCTAGCAGCTGTGATCCTACAAAGATGTAAGTGCAGTGGAAAGTCAAACCTGATTCCTAAAATATAAGTTTACTGAAAGCCTTCTAATTTTTATGTCTTCTTTTGGTTTTTAGGTTCTTAATATTTTTAATTTTTTTAAAATCTGTTTAAATAGTATTACACATGCAGTTCAATATTTTGTATGGCAGGATCAAATCTCAACATACATGGCAAACATACCTAAATCCCCAAATCCCTAATTATGTTTGAAAAAGTGTATGAACCAAAAAGAAAAAAAAGTTATGTTGTTTCAAACCAATTCAATAGGTCTGTTAAGTGCTGCATGTAAGACCTTCAGGTCATATGAAATTTCCTACAAAAGTTCCCTTTTGAAGATAGTCATTAGAATTATATGAGAAGGAGAATACTAAGTGCTAAGGGTAAAGATGAAGTTATGTTCCATCAATATTTGTTGTGTACCTCTTTTGCCAACATAATTGTACTAATGTTAACATGCAATGGTTTCAAAATCATACGTGATATGATCATCAGAATATAAAACCAAATGACAAAACTATTTAAATTATTCAATGAAAAGTGTTTGCTTTAAAAATGCAACAACAATTCAGAAATTTTGCTTTTATTAGATAGAAATGGCAGTTCAGATTTTTGAATTGTCCCTCCCAAAACTCCTGTTGCTCGGTGGCAGTGATAGAAAGTGACTGACTAATCTAATTATTTTATGTAACAAAAGCCTACAAGAAAGAGTTTTGATAGTAATTGTTGCATTTTTGTGTCTTCCATCTCTAATTCATAGTTTGCTTACTTGTAGGACTTAATGTTCTTTGAAAACTCTTTGGATGGACTATAACAAGATGACAGAAACAATGAAATATGCAGAATGTGTTTCAGTAGGTAAAAATGAACAGAAATTGATCTTCTTGCTTTGAAGACTTATACCTTAGATACTTTCTAATTCTTTTTCATTTTCTTCCAGAAATTGCTTGAGCTTTAGACATGATTTTTGAACTGCAAAAATCTTTGTTCCTTTTAGGAAAAGATAGGGAGCTAATGATGATGCTTATTAAAATATGTCTCATGTAAATAATAATTTGCCACTTATATTTTATGTGTGTTGTAGCTAAACACATACTTTTCACACAGAGCACTGTTGCTTTGGAATAGTGTTATTCTCTTTTTTCTCTTTTGATGTTCCTGCATGGGAAATCATGAAAGATTAGATGAAGGCTGGCAGCATCACTGATGAAAGTCTGTGTTTAGAGAAGCCTTTGATGTTTTGCAAGTGGTGGTACCAGCTACTAACAACATGAGGGTGTGTTCTGGGGATTTGGCTTTTTCCTAATTTTTGGAAGTAATTTTCTGATTTGCTATTGAATTAATAGTAACAAACTGATATTGAAAGTAACAAATATAAAGACATCATCCAATGGGAAGTTCAAGATGTTATCTCTTTCAGTGAGTTGAAAGAAGGGAAGTTATGTTTGCTAGTAAATGAATTTTATGACAAAGATTGTTTTAATGAGCAGCAGCCAGAGACTAGGCTTGGGAATGTAAGCTCTATTCCAAAAATCTGGTCTTCTAGTATTTCTATGGTCCTCTATGTGCTAGAAGCACACAAATCACTTTGCTTTGAACTATCCAGCATTACAGATTCTTGCAGCCATCCACTCAAGGCTTTCCTTAAAAGGTTTGTTCTTCTTTATGGTGATTGATAACTTTTCATTCAGACTTGCCTGAGGCCACCCTAGAACAGAATTATTAATTCTTTTCCTTTGGCAAGCTCAGGTATTTTCTATGATAGGATTGTGTAAAAGGAGCTTTTTCTAGTTCAGCAGTTTTACATAGCTGTTCAAACCTGCAGTCAGACCTCATCATACTGTTCCCAAACATTCCCACCAACAGGCTTTTAATAACACAAGCTTCCTTTGTAGGTACATCCATGCAAGATGTAAGCATTTATTTTTTTTTTTTGCAAAATAATTGCTGTATGAACTTTCTTATGCCTCCCTTAAAAGCCCTAGTGGGTCCTTCAAGAAGCAAACCAGTACCATACAATATTGGTGGTAAAACCAAATGCTGTCATAGTCACCAGTCAAGTTTCCAAGGGGAACATTTTACAAATCACTGGAAATGCTGGCTTCTTTTTTTAGTGTGAACCAGTAATTCAATTCTTGCAAACAACCAACACATCAACGGAAAGAGAGGAGATAATGAATAATTCATAAAAATGAAAAAGAGCTAAATTTATCGGGTGATTAATTCTCAACAAATATTTAGACTAATTTTAAATTAATGTTCATGGATATGAATTCAAACACAGTGAAGTCAGGAAGTTGCAACTAACGTTCCCATAGTGAAATTAACTCAGGAATGCTTATAGATTTAAACAGTATGTTTTAGATTATATACCACACTTAGGTATTTATACAGATTTACATATGTCTTGAAAATAATTGTGGTTAACAAGCTCTGACAATCATCATTATCTTTTAACCATTTCATTACTGGCTCTCGCTGTGACTTTTAGCAGTGCAATCAGGTTATGAGCTCACAGGAACCATCGCTGCCACCTCTCACAGGAGGATGCATTCTGTGAGCTTCGCGGGCAAGACGCTCCCTCCTGTGGTTATGTGTGATTTTACAGAGAAATACAGGATGCTTTTTGCCATTCTCACTCATTTCACACTGGTGTCATTCTGTTAAATTCAGCCCTTTCACTCCTGACTTACTCTTATGTAGACTGAGAAAAAGAAACGGATTTTCTTTTTTTTTTTTTTCTCTTTAAATACCTTTGCCAGCTTAGATGGAAGTGACTATTATTATAGCTGATAATTTTGGGTCTTGTGCAAAATGGTTAGTGCACTGTTGTTGAGCTGTGTGTGTCTGAACACTTGGCTGGATACAGTGCTTGGTGAGACCAGCAGGATTGCCACCTAGCTCCCACTGCAATTCCCAGTCTTCTTCTGACTGTTAACTAGTCAAAGATGTCTCTGAAGCAAATGTGTTTAACCTCAGCTGCAGTCAGCTCAAAACAGGGTGTTATTTACCTGCAGGGCTGAATTTGGCTGTGAGTGTCCATGTATACCTTGTAGGTGAGCAACACATGCATATATTTTTTATGAATTGCAACCAGATGATATTACTGTACTTCTTGCACTTAATCATTTTCTTGCTGTTTTGTGTGTTGCTACAACTTTTTTTGCTGTTAATGTGTACATAAGTATGTTTGAATGTCTCTTTATACTCAGAGGCGGCTTCTGGGAGACACAGGAACAGGATCAGCCTCTGGATAAAACAAGCACTGGGGCTGGGACAGCTTTTGCTGGCTAGAGCTCTCTTGACATTCTGCTTGACCTTTGTCCCACCCTTCAGCATCCTGGTAGAAATTCAGTGCCAATGCCAGCATTTTTTCAACTGGAAAGTCGTTCATCTACACCACAGCTGCCACACAAAGGCAGGTATTCATCCTCACCAAAGATGATGGAGTTCTGCATGATACAACTAATGAAAAGCTAATGCATACTAAGATTTTAATGACTGGCAGCTCTAACTAATAATCCTTCTTATTAATAGCAATGTGTTTCAAGTTATGGGAGCTATGCATGCTCACCTTTCATGGTTCCCCCTTGGGCTAGGAGTAGCTCTCCAAAGGAGAATTCAGTATCTGCTAAAGTGTCATGGCTATTCTCCAAAGCAGATTCATGTCCTGGATATCATCTAAAAAGAAACAAGACTGTTTGAAAGAAACAGAAATTTTACTTAACCCAGCCAAGCAAAGATTTTCACTCTTGATCACCAGCCAAACTGTAAATCTGTGTAGCACACAGTCCTTGTGCTCAGTAGATGGCAGCAACAACTCATTATTACAATATTTAGCTTTTCACAGGTCACAAGCTGTACTCAGGACACTGATTAAAGATCAACACACCTTTAATCTCGAATTGAATTCGACTCTTAACTGGAGGATTTTATTTTCTGCGTGTGATATTAAACCTTTGTCACATGATGCTGGGTTATCTTTATTGTCTGCAACTTACAGCTGAATTATTGGTGACTGGTACTTTAGGAGATCTGGTCAAGGCATGGACAGAAGACAGCCTGCCACAAAGTGACCTCTTCTGATCAGCACCAAACCTATTTTTTGCACCTGGAGCATCTCTCCAGCTTCCACAGGTGGACAGCAAAGAAGCCTCAGTCCCAGGACACTCCTCACTTTCTGCAGAAACAGAAGTGCCATGTCTATAGGAAATGGCTTTGTGGTGGTGTCCCTAGAAATGTCAAAGGTTTCTATGGGTAAAATGTTTTTAATGTCATGTCATGCCATCATGGCCCATCACTATGGGCTGTCCTGGTTCTCTGATAATTTGGTGGATTCAAAAGTGTACTTCTCTTCATAGACTTTGATGTGCATATTGAAAAAATCTTTTTGTGTCAATTGAATTATTTGTTTCAGGATTAGACAAGCCTGGAAATGATCCAAAATACACATTTACCGATAGAGTTGTTTAAATGGATCCGTTTTGAAAAAAGAAAAAAGATACTTCCTTCTCCTGACCCTCTTCTTAGCTGTATTGATTTAGTTTCAATTAGAATGGTATGTGCTATGTCAAAGTGATAAATGCTAGTTTAATTCGAAGATCAACTTTAGATTTCAAATGTGCTTTTTTTCTTCCCTAAAAATGGCTCTCCTAGTGGGCAAAACCCACTTTAGCTCCTTAGGGAAAATTACCCTATATGCTGTGGAAGGAGATTTAGTTGTTGGTTTTTGTTGGTTTTTTTTTCTGGAATCCTGGATGTTTTCCTAAACTTGATCCCTCTTAGGAATAGCTTCCTTAATGCCAAATCATTATTGAAGTCTACAGAGACTATTAGCACCTGCCAAGAGACAACAACATCTTTTCCATGATTTGTCAGCATTTTATTACTTCAGTCCTCTGAAATTAAGTTAATGAAACATTTTTTAAAGGTAGTAATAATTACTTTATGGAGCAAGACAGCCCAGGACAGATAAAACTTTCTGCTTTCTTATATATTTTTTAGTACTGTGCTTAGAAAAGCTCACTAATATTTTACATAAGAAAGGTCAGGAGGACAGAGACAGGTGAGTGCCGAGTGACTGTACCCTCAAAGTGTGTTCATATTAAGTTAATGAAACATTTTTTAAAGGTAGTAATAATTACTTTATGGAGCAAGACAGCCCAGGACAGATAAAACTTTCTGCTTTCTTATATATTTTTTAGTACTGTGCTTAGAAAAGCTCACTAATATTTTACATAAGAAAGGTCAGGAGGACAGAGACAGGTGAGTGCCGAGTGACTGTACCCTCAAAGTGTGTTCATTCTCCCA